TCATGAGTTGGCTGACTGTTCATACTGTTTCTGGATAATATTAAAAAACATTCCATTTTGCTATACACCTGAAACTAACACAACATTGTAAATCAACTATATTTCAATTAAAAAAATTTTCATAGTAAAAAAAAAATCTCATTTTGTCCCCAAATTGGATATTGTTTAAATATGAACAAAAATGATATTTTTAGTTCAATGTTAATGTCTCTCAACATTTATAAGTAGCAGCTTTTACTTCCCTAGAGTTCTGTCAGTTCTTATAGTAGCTATTTTTCACCTAAAGTTCTTTTTAGTGTTATATAGTCTTTTGGTTTTAACAATAAGAATATTTGCATTCAGTACTTTGGAATGATCCTAATTTAAGCACAGAGTTTAATTTTAAATTCTCTGCAACATAAGAACATATACAAAACTAACCCTAACTGGGAACACTAGTGATTACCTGTAGTGTTTTACAATGGCCATTTTTACTTTGGTTACAAAGACCCAGTTTCTTAGAATCCCACATTGTTTGTTGCTTCAGGATAAAAAGGAAGTATAGAAATCTCTGGGAAGATATGCGTAAGTATGATTTAATCACCAGTATTGTATCCATTTAGCTTTTCTACTTATCAGGAATGTTGCCTGTTCTAGGCAGAGAATGCTTTTGAAAGTACGATGTTAGCTGCATGCAAGTACTTGTGTCTGCATGCTAGGAGGTAGCCATAAAGCTTACAACATCTTAATTCAGAACAAATGGCACTTACAGTTTCAGTCTCTTTAGAATCATTAGAGTGGTTGAAAACGGGATATAAAGTATATATTTATGAAGAAAATACCAATAAACCATGGAATTCATAATTCTTATGAAATATATAGTTCTACTGAAGCTGCAATACATTTTAGAATCTGAATTAGAAGATTTGTAGTTCATTTTTTTTTAGCAAATTCCTGTGATGTTAGGAATATTAAAGGATTTCTGTAAATTATAAAGTATATAAATGTGTGTTTATGTATAAAACACACATGTAAGTTACCTGATACCAGAAAAAAATGTTTTTGAATTAGCGGTAAATTGGTTCATCCAAGTTCGCAGTTTAGTTTCACAACATAGGTGTACAGACAGTTTGTTTAGATGTTTAATTTTTTCCCCCATCTGTTCTGTCAGGATTATTGATTGAGCAGTAAGCCACTCCAGGGCATACATAGTCTCCTCATAACTGCTTTCCTTGAGTGCATTGTGTGGCCTGGCGAACAAGCTGAGGAAGGTGTTCCTTCAGCTTCCCAGTAAATCTTAATTGGTAAAAGAATATTGAAATGAGTATGTTTTTTGAAAGTACCCAGTAGCCAAATATTTACATTGGGAACTTTAATTGATGGTATCACTTTAAAATATATAATTTATTATTTAATGTCATTCTTTGAAATTAGTAACCATTCAAGAGCTGTTCATGGTGATTTTTTAAACTCATCTGTGTTTTGATAAGTAGAAGTGTCTACATTAAATGTTATCAAATATTAATCAAATATTGCCAGAACATTTAATAGTAATTGATAACCTTCTGTGACTTCCTTGAGTCTTAGATTTTATTATATCATAAAGTGAAGCAATCTCTGGCTTCTAGTGGAAACATTGAAACTAAACCTTTTTTCCTAGAGCTTGTGCTCTGTTGGGGTGTTTATTGATATGACCTCTTGTCATTTTTTAACATTTACATTCTTTTAGTGTTCCAAATCTCCACTTGTTCTTTATCTCTGTTTGGGCATTTGTGTTAAATGTGCTTATAAAGTGAAGCTATATCTATGGTTACAGAGGACAGTAGGTGTAGAAGGAAATACTAAATGTCTGCATTCATATTTAAAGTTGATTTTAGTTTAAACATTAGTGACATTGATTTCATGGAAAAGAGACACTGTCTTTAGTTTAATTCTTCAGGATAAGTCTTTCAGTGGATTATTTCTTTACGAGCAGGTTTTGACCTGCATTTATATCTAGATTATATGATAAATTGCATTTTAATGGAGTTGAAATGTAACTTACCATTGTTGTACCTCTACATTACCATTTATCCTACTGGTTGGATCAACCCTCATGATAACCATGAAGTAAATTAGCCTTTTTGCTAGAGAAAAAAAAATCGTCAGAGGTAACCAGAAGGAATTGCAACTCTTAGGTTAAAGAATGTAAATTTTATATATTACTAGGCTGTGGATTTTAATTTCACTCTGGAATTTCTACACTATTTCAAAGTATTGTATTTTGAAATAATTTAAATATAAAGAGAGAGAAAAGCCATTGTATGAACAGTGGTAACATGCTTTTTATTATATAGCCACATGTAGAATATTATAATCACTTTTATTTTTATTTCTTGTGTATTTCATCTTCCAGCTGTCTTGAGGTAGGAGTTGAACAGAAATCTTTCTTTTTAATTGATAGCAAAGACTCTTAGATAAAGAGGCCTGGCTGAGTTGTTGGGGTATTTTCTCCTCAACATTGCCTAAGTTTTACATGTCAGTCAGATAATACATTACATCAGATTTGTTTAGTACAAAGTAATACAGCAAACAGCTCTAATTGTAGCATTATGTATGTATATTTCAATTAAAGCTCGTATGTTCAAAAGCAAAACCACATATCTTGAGAATCAGTTTTCGTTTTACAAAGCTAAATAAAATATATTTTATTTTATCAAGCAGATTGTTTTACAATGCAGTTTTATTTTTCAGTTGCTTATTTCTCTTCAAAAATAAAACCCTTTTTTTATGTACTCACTTTCCCTTCTGGCTGCAAACCAGGTATTTAAACAAAAATAAAGGATTGCCAGTTCTGCCAGCTGGGGATGAGAACCCGGCTGGTGAAATGTGGGTTCGGGAGGCAGTTAATCCAGCTTTTATGCTTTTTATGGTTTTATGAAAAAAGAGGTTAAAAGCTACATTTGGCTCTTTATTGTATGTACCACTGTTTTGTTGCTGTTGTAGGAATGCAGTAAAAGGTTACTTAGATTTAAAAAATTTTGTTATTAGGTAAAATCTTGCATCTATTAGATAAAGGCCTACAAACAGTACATTCTACTAATTGGATGTGGGAGAGATTCAAAAGTCACTGGTATTTAAAAATTATATGTACAGTATTTCCTTTAAGTACACAAGTAGAATTCCTTCTACTTCAAGTTGTTTCTTGTTTTCTATATGTTCTCACATTACTCATTTCAAACAAGTAGAAATTTTAAATATCTTTGGCTAAAGATAGAAACTAGAATTTATTGTTTTCCCCAAAAACATCTTGCTTAGTTTGTTATTTACAAAAGGGTTTTGGAAAAATTTAGAAACTGGACTTATGTTTATATATTGCCAATGCAGTTTCTAGTTGTCTTTAGCCACAAAACAATGATACAATTGAATTAATACTAGGGATGTAATGTACAATATGATAAATATGGTTAACATGCTGTATGTTACGTATGAAAGTTGTTAAGAGAGTAAACCCTGAGTTCTCATCACAAGGAAAAAAAAATTTTTTCTAATTCTTTAATTCTGTTTCTGTATGAGATGATAGATGTTCATTAAAGTTATTGTAGTAATCATTTCATGATGTATATAAGTTAAATCATTATGCTGTACACCTTAAACTTATGCAATGCTGTATATCAGTTATCAAGCTGTATGTCAATTATGTCTTGGTAAAACTGGAAGAAAACGATCTTTTCGTAGCATTTGGAAACACTACTAAATAGATCTTTAGGTAACATAGTTTTTTTCTTAAAATTAAATTCTCCACCTTTAAATACCCTGTCTACCAAAGTGCCTTTCATAGTATTTATAGTAATCGTAGTGTAGCTGTCAAAAATATTATGTGCGTTTTATGAAATTATTAGTTAAATTTTAAATAAAAGTCACATAGGCGTAATCTTCAACAACATACTTACTTAGCTCAAACTAAGAAAGTTTAGACATGAGTACTACTTTGTTCTGTATCAAATTCTCTCCAATGTCATCAATTATACGATTTTTTTTGATTGATTAATTTCGTGTATATGGTTTTCTTGATCTGTTTATCCCAAAGCTAAGAGGATCAGGTAAAGTAAGCTTTAAGATTATTCAAATATAGTATCTTAAAATAAAATATTGAAAGATCCAAATACATAAAGAAAATTCCATTGGATGAGGAACATATGCAGTAGAAGGTTAAATCAAATTTTACCTTTCTGGGACAAATGGCACATCATCATGTTTCAGTTTGAACAGGTTGCTCTAACATAGCCTAACTTATACTTGCATATTGTTTCTTACTAAATTTATTTTACATGTAATGTGTTTTGGGAAATAAATTTAAGGTCATATACCCTACAAATATTGAGTCCACAATTTTTATTGTTTGTGTTTAACAGAAATTGTTGTGAGGTACTTAAACTTTGGATACTAAAGTTTATTACAACCCAAACAGTAAATCTTTATATTCACCTGTTGCTTAAATATTTCCTGAAAGAGTTTAAACATGTAGGGGCCTCCAAAAGTTTTTATATTTATTTTCATGGTTGTCATGCCCTGGACTCTTCTCTAGTACATTGCATTTGTTTATTCCTATCTTTCACTGTTTGATTTGTAGTAGTTGGTTCTTCTCAGTGCAAGAATGTGGTAGACACATTATGTTCTCTATAATCAGCACAGTTTAGCTCTAAGTTGTTACTTAAAGTCCATGTTAGTGGAACCACAATGAAAAATTGAGTAGGCCTAAATGAAAATATGCAAATAGTTTCCATTTGATCCTTAGGGCACTCATATATTCATTTACTTAGAATCTGTTGCAATACCTTTTTTGGTACCCAGTCATTTCTGGATATATATTGAACATTTCACATATTTGGTGTGATTTATATCTTTTGTAGGATGCTTCATAATTTAAATGTCAAGATCTCAGAATAGCCTACCTAGGTTATGTAAAAATCTTATGTTTTATAAATAATACTTTAAAAGCTAACGTGTAAAAATTGATCTTTTACTGGTTTCACTTTTAGGTGTTAGAAGATAATGACTATGGCCGAGCCGTGGATTGGTGGGGCCTTGGGGTTGTCATGTATGAAATGATGTGCGGGAGGTTACCTTTCTACAACCAGGATCATGAGAAACTTTTTGAACTAATTCTAATGGAAGACATTAAATTTCCTCGAACACTCTCTTCAGATGCAAAATCATTGCTTTCAGGGCTCTTGATAAAGGATCCAAATAAACGGTAAGCCACAAATAACACACAGTGAGTTACTGATGAATGTGCTTAGGAATTGTGATATGGAAATTAATTCAAATATAACTAACTCCAAGAAGCAATGTATTTGCTGTAGACATCTTCCCACTGAGACGCTGACTTATTTTTAACTGCATAATAGAGAACATTTAAAAAATTTCCTCAACTCTTTCCTAACTTGGAAATTTTATACAGATTTTACCACATAAAGATTTTGAGAGTTTTATGAACAAACAGTTTCTTAATTGCCGTGGTGCTTGCTATTGTGGGGATAGGAGGATCCCTTTTTTCCTTTCAGTCTCTGGGCTTTATATTTCTGCTGATTTACATTATAAAACAGATAGAATTGTCTCTGTACTCTCCTCCCACACGTATGTATGTTAACATATCTATAACTACTTTTTTTGTTTCTCTTTGAAGATAATTATTTTCCACGCATGGCTGAAAGGACTAATGGCAAAAAATGTCTTTGCATACTTTGTATTTCTATTTTTGTAGCTATAGCTATGACCTGAAGAATCCTACAGCTCTTTGCTTAATGAGCTGTAGTATTCATTGTTCACGTTTATATATTTATTTACACATACATTTTATAAGTCATACATGAAATGAGTATTAATTTTAAAATATCCCTTAATATATGTGTTTGTAGATACATGTGTATATTCTTTGTTCCAGTAGATATATATGCATATCAGTATGTCTCTGAAAATCTCTTAGACCTTAAGCGTCTTAAGGGTAGGCCATTTCATATATTGTTTAATCTTTTGTAACACCTCACATAATTTTTGTTAATGTTCTGTTTATGGTTGATGCTCAGTATGTATTTGCTGACAGACTGAATTAATGAGTGAGGCAGTAAATGAATTTTAAATTGTGGGCTTTGTCTACCTTAGAGATGGTTTCCATCACATACTTCTAGCTTTTAAATTTGTGAGGAACATGATTTTACCTTCAGCAGAAAGAAGCAAACATAATAAAAGAGGTGCCATCTTTTTGCTTTGTGAAGAACCATTCAAACACGTTTCATAATTCTAGTAACTGAAACCTTACCTTATATTTATAAAGTGATTTTGTGTTCTTTGTCAGGACATTTGCACATCTCTTGTTTCCCTTGCTTTTTAGTATCCTGTGGAGTAGGTAGCATAGATATTACTCTCATTTCCATTTGACTGAGGAGAAAATGAGGCCCAGGGAGGGTTACGTGAGTTATCCTAGTTCTCACAGAAAATTCGTGCAGAACAAGAATAGAAATCAAGTTTATACGAGCCTATTTGGTATTTCTCTTGTATCTTCTTTACAGTGCACCGTTTTCTTAGTTTAGGTTTTAAAATGTATTCCATTTGATGTGATTGTTTCACAACTATTGTAACAAGTGGTACTTGGCAATAGAAAATCTTTATATAGAGCTAGGATTTCAGTTTTATCTAGTTGAGTTTTGGATCTAATATTTGCCTTAGATTTCAAGGGCAGTGAATTTTTCACCCATCTTTTTCTGACTCCTTCTGGTTTTCCTGTCTATGTCTCATTCATTTTTTTATTGTCATTTCCCACCCTCCACCCGCACCCCACCCCCTGGGGATAGCACATAGTACGTACTTAATGATTGTTGAATACACGTGAGGTAAATTTCTAGAATGTTAGTGGCCTGGTACGTAGGACAACTCTTAAAGTTTTGTCTACCCAGAGGTTGATATTGTCTAAAGAGAAGATGTGGTATTTTTAACTATCTGTTATTTCCTTTTAAGGTAGATATGTCAAGCCCCTCCACTGCTACATTAAAATATTGGGAATGCAAGGATGAACAAAATGGGTAATCTCTGCTCTAGTTGTTCATAGAATAATGTAGGGCACAAAACATATATTCACAGATGCTCAGGTTAAACTATGTACAAATGCTTTTGAAATTATTAGCTGTTAAGGGGATTGGAAAACTTGAGCTGGCTCATGAAGGAGTTGCAATTTGCAGTGGCTTTCATGAAGAGAATTTTACATGTAAATAACAGCTAGAATTGCAAATGAACATGGCATTTGAGAAGTTCAGCAACTGGAGTGTAGAATATGAGTTGGGTAACATTGGCAGATGAAGCCGATATGTTAGATTGTAAGGACCTTATCTTTCTTGGAAAATATTTAATCTTTATTCAGAAGGGGATGAGAAGCCACTGAATTATTAAAAGTAAGGGATGGTGTAATCAGGTCTGTGTTACGAAAAGGTAACTCAGGAAGCTTTGTCATGGATAGATTAGAACAGTGAAGCACCAGGGGCAGGTAGGCAGAGTAATTAAGAATACGTATGGAATTGTCCAGATAAGAGATGGAGTCCTTCCTAAAGCAGTTGTAAAGAGTGCTAAATAGAATTTTGTGAATGATTAAATAGAAATGGTGAGGAAGGGGAAGGAGTCAGGATGCCTCTGAGGTTTCCAACTTGTATGACTAGTTTGGAGAATGGACTTATTATTAACAGAGAAGGAGTACAGGCAAAGGAGGAGGCTTGATGGGGTGGATGTTGGTATTAGTTTTGCTATACCGAGTCTGAGGTTTCTATAGAAAACCTAGTTGTCAAGCAGGCAGCTGAAAATAGTACCAGTGCTTAATAGAAACACAATAACTAATTTTCTCTGGGTATATGTCCAGGAGTGGGATTGCTGGGTCATATGGTCAAACTAAAAACTATTTTTAGTTTTTTAAGGAACCTCCATACTGTTCCCCATAGTGGCTGTTTACATTCCCACCAACAGTGTAGGAGGGTTCCCTTTTCTCCACCTCCTCTCCAGCATTTATTGTTTGTAGATTTTTTGATGATGGCCGTTCTGACCGGTGTGAGGTGATACCTCATTGTAGTTTTGATTTGCACTTCTCTAATAATTAGTCATGTTGAGCATCTTTTCACATGTTTGTTGGCCATCTGTATGTCTTCTTTAGAGAAATGTCTATTTAGGTCTTCCGCCCGTTTTTTTATTGGGTTGTTTGTTTTTTTGATTCTGAGCTGCATGAGCTGTTTGTATATTTTGGAAATTAATCCTTTGTCCGTTGCTTCATTTGCAAATATTTTCTCCCATTCTGAGGGTTGTCTTTTCATTTTGCTTATGGTTTCCTTTGCTCTACAAAAGATTTTAAGTTTCATTAGGTCCCATTTGTTTATTTTTGTTTTTATTTTCATTACTGTAGGAGGTGGGTCAGAAAAGATCTTGCTGCAATTTATGTCAAGGAGTGTTCTGCCTATGTTTTCCTCTAAGTGTTTTATACTGTCCGTCCTGACATTTAGGTCTTTAATCCATTTTGAGTTTATTTTTGTGTATGGTGTTAGGGAGTGTTCTAAGTTAATTCTTTTACATGTAGCTGTCCAGTTTTCCCAGCAAAGATGAACTTATTTGCAAAGCAGAAATATAGACACAGATTTGGTATCCACAAACTTATGGATACCAAGGGCGGAAGGATGGGGTGGGACGAGTTGGGAGATTGGGATTGACATATACACACTACTGTGTATAAAAGAGATAACTAATGAGAACCTACTGTATAGCACAGGAAACTCTATTCAATGCTTTGTGTGACCTAAATGGGAAGGAAATCTAAAAAAGAGGGGACATATGTGTACGTATAACTGATTCACTTTGCTGTACAGAAGAAGCTAACACAACATCGTAAAACAACTATACTCCAATAAAAAATTAATTTAAAAAAAGGAAACACAAAACTGAATATTTGGATTTGGGATCTGTAGATATCTAGGAGGTAGCTGGAGCCATGAGAATAGTGAAAAGAGTAGAATATAAAAAGAAGGCAGCCTAGGATAGAGTCTTGGGAAATGTCAAAATTTAAGAGGTAGAAAGAAGAGAAAGAGCCAACAAAGGACGCTTCCAAAAGTCTTTGGAAACGTAATCAAAGCTAGCACTATAGTATACCTCTTTATTATTCCTATTCAGCTGTTTTAAATACTGCCTGAATTTCTCTGATACTCTTTACCGAATTGCTATCAGTTCCATCAAAGAGTCAGCTCTCATCTTGCTTTTATTTCTTATTCTGCATTACTTTATGATTATTCTACCAGTATCTCCTTTAGCCTCCTATGCAAATTTTGTAGGAAAAGCATGACCTCATGTTGCATTCAATAACACAAGGAAAATGTGAATTAGATGATGTTTCTAGTTATGAAGAATCCAGAGTAGCTGAGGATTTTAGTTTGGCTTTCTGATATGGGAATTTGGTATTCTTAGACAAAAATATCTTAATGTAAATTATATTTTGATATAATTTTGAAGTTTTAAATTGTATATTAGGGAGTCATTGACGTTGAAATTTTTGACAGTTTCACACTTTGAAGAAGCTTGTGTTAAAGAATCTCTACCAACTTCTAAAATGGCAGCCTAAGATTATATTCTTAGTCTTTGTATAGCATTCATGGCCGATACTTTAATTTTATATGTAGTTGATAAATATAGATTAAATGCTGTCTATGTCCAAAGCCAAACTATTGCTAGAGAATTGAGGGGTGACATAAAAATGAAAAACTGAAACTGAATTAAAACCTTTTAATTACAAAAATGACTACGGTTCTCCATTCCAACTCCTACCTCATCCATCATCTCATATATGTAATTAAGATTGAAAACAGTATTGAAATAAACAATAACATAAATGTAAGAAAATACAATGAACTGCTGATTTTTCTTGTGCATGCTACTTTAATGCATACTTTGAAATGTTGAATAATTCTTTTCAGAAGCCTGTGTTTTGGTGTTTCTGCTTTCCTGGCTCCCTAAGCACAAGCTTTAAAATGCTTTTTGGATAATCCAGTACTGAACTCTCCCCTCCAAAGAATTTGCATTCTACCAGGAGAGAGACATATACAACTTGAAATAGAATGAAAAAGAGTGAGGCCAGGGAGTCAAGTGCCGAGTGTTAACTAAGTATAGATTTGCCAGTCTGAAAGTTGCAAATATGCATGCAACTATTATGATCCGATCCAATCTAAAAGTTCCATATCAGGAGTGTAGTTTATTCTGTATGAATCTTGAGATAGGAGACCTAGATAGTGGGAACTATAGGATCAACACTACAGATATTCAGATATCAGCTAATTGTTTTGTTTTCCATTCTGACAGTGTGTCAGAGGATCCTGGATTCTTCCCAGTCATGTATTTCTTATACCTAATAATAAGCAGAATTCATTAAAATTGTATAATTGTTTGTTTTCTATGACCTACTTGTGTTTCTTCTTACTCAGTGTTGTGATGGGAGTTGAAATGTACCAATTTAGAATAGCCAATTGTTAAATTTCAAAAATTTTGTGAGCTGGTTGTTGAATACAGTCATTATTAAAAATTAAATTATATAAACTTACAGTTAAATCAGGAACATTAAAATCATGGGTAAAAAATACTCAAAACTCATCACTCTTTAATAATGTTGTTAAATTTTACTCTTATCTATGCTTTTGAGGTTACTTATCCATTTTGCTTATATATTTTGAGGTTAGGAATACTATGTAATGTTTTACTTCCACACATCTTGTATCAGTAAAAATAATATATATAAAATGCATTATATTGTATATGCATAATTTCCCTCAGAGAGCTGATTGTTCAGCATTTGCCAGCACATATTCCTAACGACGAGTAAAATCAAATAAATCTTGCTGTATCAAATTCAGATTTAAATAGATTTCCTTTATTTTCCTCTTTCTTTCCCTGTCCTTTCTTTTTTTCTCTTTTTCCTCTTTCCCCTCACCTTACTTCCTTCTCTGTTTTTTTCTGTTTCTCTCATCCTTTCTTCATAGTGACTAGTAGGTACTGTATGAAACTGAGAAAGCTAGAAAGCACCCGAATTTCAGATTGTGTCAGGTATCAGTTGAATAACAGTACCTTCAAAGATGGGGTGGGAGTATTCTTAAATTTTTAATTTATATTGAAACTTGCATAGCATATTATATTGCAGTGATATTTCATAGATTAAATTTATCATTTCTGTGAAAATTCATTTGAGATATGAAAATACTCGATGAGTTTCTGTCTGTTAGCAATGCTCTCCAAGTTGTTTTTTCTAAGTAATTGTCTAGTCTTTTCAGAATTTATGTTAACAAGGGTGCATTTTGACTAAAGTCGTTCTAAAATAAATTTGGTTTATAGAATTGACAGTAGCTCCCATTTATTGTGCTAGGTACTTATGTTATTTCTAACCCTTGCAATAATCCACCAGGCTGGTATTATTAATCCCATTATACAGATGAGAAAACTGAGATTAAGCAACTTTTTTATTGTCATATATCTCATAAATTTCCGAGCCGGTTGCCTGTTTCAGGTTTGTCTCCAAAGCCTTTGCTCTTTTCAAATACCATACTGTCCTGGGGCTAGTTCTTATTAATAGCATATTAGGAAAATTAGATCTTACAATAAAAACTTTTTATTTTTATGGCTACTTATCACAAGAACTATTTACACACAGAAAATTACATTTCACAAAAACTTTGTAGTTATGCATTCAGCTTATGTAAACGTTTTATACTCATTTAATTTTATTTCTGTCCTTGCAGCCTTGGTGGAGGACCAGATGATGCGAAAGAAATTATGAGACACAGTTTCTTTTCTGGAGTAAACTGGCAAGATGTGTATGATAAAAAGGTAGGTTATCTTCATGGCATAGTGTTTATATATTTTGGTTAAAATGAATTTACAGCAAAAAAATTTTTAAGTGAATAAAAGTGAATGATGTAATGACATTTTTCATCTTTACTCAGTCATTTAGTTGAATGTAGGACTCCTTAGCACAAAATTTTCTTGATAGTTTTGACTCCCGAAATGCATTTTGAAATTTTATTCAATGTGATCAAACAGTTTTTCTTTTTTATCACAATAATTTGTTAGTTTGCTTCTCATCATTTCCTTAATTCATAAAAAATAAAGGCACCAATGTTATGTTATTCTTCAGGAAAACTACCTAGCAAAACAATCATAATTTTAAAACTTTGTCTCTATGCCTTTCATTTTAAAGTGAACTCTTATTTATTTATACAATTTCTTATTTTAAAAGGAATTTAAAGCAATTTAGTTTTAATATTTAACAAAGTAATAAATTTATTTGTCTTCTTTGGAACGTCTCTGTTATTTGAAACAGAACTTAAAGACCCAGAGAATGGATGCTACAAATTATGTAATTTTATTTTTACTGTAATCTGCTTAGTACTTGTTTTTAATACTGCAGTGTTTACTTAAGTTTAGGAACAGGAAATTATTGTGTTTGTTCTATCTTTTAAATTTTTTTAATTTTATTTTTACTACTTCAGATATTGTTAGTACAGACACTGATTTTTATATTTTGGTTTTCAAATGCTCATATAAAAATTTTGCTACGAAATTTTTATGTAGTTCAGCATTTGCTTAGAATTATTATCTAGTCATTTTGTGTAGTTAGTCCTTCCATTTCAATTTATTCCAGGTTTCCATATTTTTCTCTAAAACATATATCAATCAACATTTATGTAGTGTCTACTTTGTGCCAAATATTCTTCTCTATTAACCCCTAAAGATAGAATGATATCATATGAGTTATGAGGAAGTGAGACGAGTACTTCATTTTTGTATTATGTTACAGTAATAGGGAGTGTGGTGATTTTGTAAGCATTTACTGTAAATAGGTGTTTAAAATAGTTGCACCATGTTATGATACCTCTACTCAAACTTCACTTCAGTTAAACTTACATCTCTTCAGCTCGGTGCTTTGTGACCACCTAGAGGGGTGGGATAGGGAGGGTGGGAGGGAGATGCAAGAGAGAGGAGATATGGGGATATATGTGTATGTATAGCTGATTCACTTTGTTATAGAGCAGAAACTAGCACACCATTGTGAAGCAATTATGCTCCAATAAAGATGTTAAAAAAAAAATTTTGAGTTTCTACCATGTATAAAGCACTGAGGTAAGTATTGGATCCTTCTCAAACGTTATGAGAAGCTTGTGACCATTCTTAAGTTTCCTCAGTGTTTATTAACTTCATGTAGACAGTTATACATCCACTTTATAACACTGATGATATTCTTTATGAGTTGCATCCATATATAGCCCCTAATGCACTATGTACTGTTTATAATGTCAGTACACTATAAAAGAACCTGAAATTGGGAGACTGGGATTGACATATATACACTAATAGGTATAAAATAGATGACTAATAAGAACCTGCTGTATAAAAAAATAAATAAAATTAAATTAAAAAAAAAAAAGAACCTGAAAAAGAAATCTGAAAAGTATCAAGATCTTGGCATGTCTCCTAGAAATAATATATGGTCAGAGGTTTTCTTTGGCAGGCAAAGTTTTAAGCCACAACTAAATATTCCTTTGATATACCCTGTCCGAGGAGGATTCCACCACGACCTCCAACAACAAAATATGACAGAAAGAAAAATTTCCCTAAGAGACAAATGTAGAGCACCAGTATGGCACTGCTAACCTTAAAGAAGGGGCAAAACATGGACTTTCTTCAGTCCTATTCAGAGAGTAAGATATGCTACAAAGATTTCGTCATCAGCATGCAGCTTTTCACGTTAAACTGTAGTTTGGCAGAGAACGCTCTGAGAACCCACCTACCACACAGTTAAGAAGCAAGGCTTATCCTGTCACTGTTCCACTGGGCTCAACATGCCCAGAGCGAAGGTACTATTAAGATGTCTACTCAGGCAGCTCCCTTGTAGTGAATGGAAGTGGAGAAGCCTGCAAGTAGGGTAGGAGAAGGAGCTGCCAAAGCACAGCTTTGGGTGATATGTGTGAAGAAATGAGTTTAAATTGTGTTTGTTGATAAAAATAGTTGCTACTTAATTTGAGCAAAGGTGTTAGCTATCTTGCATAAAGAAGCACAACCACAAAAATCACAAAGTTTCTACACTCATTGACGCCTGCTACAGGTTTACTCTGGGGGTGTGGGTAGTCTACTGGATGTCAGATGAGGTACTAATGTGTTCAGCCATCTTCACACACCTGAAGAAGAACAGCATCAGAGCAGCGTGCTTAAATTTTGAGACTCCTCCTAAAAGGATGTGAAAATACGATTGGTTTTATTTGGGTTTGTATTGTATCACTAACAAACGAGGAATTAACTACAGGAATGCTAATGCCAGTAGCTATTTTAATGAATTCAATTGTAATTCTAGTGTTTTCAAACATTTTTAAGGGGGCCTATGTCTTTAAAACACGTAACTTATTCATAAAAGGTTAATTCATCTCTAAGATCAGGTATTTTTTCGTTACAGTTTTACTAATGTGCTTTGGGACATTTACTATTTTTATAGATTTATTCCATGATTATTGGCCATTTTTCTATATATCGTGGCAAACCCAGAGATGAAGGCACATGTAAAGATCCTGGTATCTTTAGGGGAAAGCTAAATCTCTTCCTAGGCAAGTTAAAAGTGAATTAATCTGAATTACAAGTATCATGATGTACCACTCTAAAGAACTTGGTACTGGAAGGTGGAAATACTCATCCTGGATCTGCTTCTTCCCTCTTGTGTGGAAATGGACAAGTTGTTTTACTCCCACATAAAATTATGATCTTTGAAGTATCTTCAAGCTTTAGGATTCTCTGGTAGGATATTTCATAATATGAATTAATCTAGTTAAATTTCTATATAAGATTTATACTCAGTTTGTCACCATCTACAAAAAAGTCTGCTGGGATTTTCTGTGAGATTATGTTCAATTTATAGAAAAATTTGGGAAGAATTGGCATTTGAGCATGCTATACATTTACATTTATTTAGGTCTTCTTTAATTACTCTCAGGAATGTTTCATAATTTTCAGTGTTTAGTTCTTACCCATATTTTGTTAAATTTATCCATAAGTATTTCATGTCTTCTAATGTGGATGGTATTTTTAAATTTCATTTCCATATTGTTTGCTACCAGTAGAAATAGGCTTGATTTTTGTATATTGACCTTGTATCCTACAAGCTATTAGTTTTAGTAGCTTTTTTTGTACATGACTTAGAGTTATCTAAATAGATGATCATATCTTCTATAAATAAAAAGTCTTACTTCATTTTCAATCTGCACGTATTTTATTTATTTCTTTTGCCTTATTATATTGGCTAGGACCTTTCTACAAAGTGGAATAGAAATAATGAGAGTTGACGTCCTGGCTTTGTTTCTAATCTTAGGGAGAAAACATTTTTTACCATTAAATATGACGTTAATCACATCTAGCACCTAAATCTTCATTACTAAGTGTCGTTCTCCAGTAAAAAGAACCAAGGTTATTTGGAGAAGTAGTTGATCCCACAGCTGGGATGGGGAAAATAAAAGAAGAGCCCAAGGAATTTTGTGGTACCAGAAAGTAAAAAAACAAAGGTAGATGGAAAAAGGTGCATGTTTGTACAACACAGGAGCCAACCTGAAATAATTCCCAGTGGTGAAAGCTGGAACAATTTCAGTAGCAAAACAAATATTGTATATGACCAAAAAAATAAGATACATATCCATGAGTCTATACTGCAGAAATTAATGATTGAACGAATAGATAAAATATTGAGAAGAGACATGTCTTCATTATAGGTGAATTCCGGTTAATAAATGTAGAAGGAATCAGGGAAATAGAAAATTACCATTAAAACACCAGAGTATAAAGAAAAAAAAAAAAAAAAAAAAAAAAAAAACCAGAGTAAAAATTGCTGTATGCAAGATTCACCAATGAATGTTAAAATTAGTGGGCAAAAGTTTAAGAAGGAGGATATTTGCATAGTGTCAACATATCTTTCCCCAGATACTTATTTACAAAGATTAAAAGAGTAATTTTACAGTAAAAAGCCCTGACAAACACTGTCTTAAACCAAGTGATCAAGATTAATATCACCAGTAATAAGACACTGAAATCATTATAACCCATGATATCATGCCCTGAGAAGGCTGTATCACTTTTGTACTATATTCCCTCAAAATGCATAACCTCAGTATAATCATGAGAAAACCTAAGAAACCCTCAAAAGTGTCAACTTCATGAAAGGCAAGGAATGATTGTGAAACTTTCACAGATTGAAAAAGACTAAGGTGGCATGATGACTAAATGCAATGTGGGATTCTAGACTGGATCTTGGAATAGAAAAGGGCCATAAGTGGAAAAACTGGTGAAATGTAAATAAATTTGGTAGTTAATACTTTTGTACCAATTTAATTTCTTAGTTTTGATAACTGTACTATGGCTGTATAAACTATTAGCATCAGGGGAAGGTGTGTAAAGGGTATATGGGAACTGTTTGTACTATTTTTCTAAGTCTTTTCTAAGCCTAAAATCATTTCAGTATAACAAGTTATAAAACTTTGATCTAAATGTAGGGTTTTTAATACCTCCTTTATTGGGTTGAGGAAGTTCCTTCTATTCTTAGTATGGTAATAGTTTTTATCATGAATAAGTGTTGAATTTTATAAAAAGTTGTTTTTTTTTTTTTTTTTTTTTTTTTTTGGGGTCCGCGGGCCTCTCCCCGCCGCGGCCTCTTCCGTTGCGGAGCACAGGCTCCGGACGCGCAGGCTCAGTGGCCATGGCTCACGGACCCAGCCGCTCCGCAGCACGTGGGATCTTCCCGGACCGGGGCACGAACCCTTGTCCCCTGCATCGGCAGGCGGACACCCAACCACTGC